ACGACTGGAGATAAGACGGACAATCTTAGTACAGCAAGAAATGCGCTTTTAGCTATGAAAGATGTCTACATATAATAGTATTCAGAAACGAGCGCTGAAAAGGTATTATGGGAAATTTACGGCCTATTGCTTTATTTACTATTTATATACTTTGATTCTACTATATGTGTAATACGTACATGTAGAGCCCGTTTTGGAACAAAATTGGTTTTTGTACTCAAACACACTGCAGATCCAGGTTGAGCTGGCACATTAGCATTTGACCCTTTGGTATTCCAGCTAAGTAAATACGAAGGTACTATAAGAAACCGAAACCAAGCGTTAGGATGAATCCGTCTGGTGTTCAGATTTGTTGGTTTGTTTCAATTCAGCTAGCGCTCGAACCACTTATTTAACCTATGGTGAGTAAACTCATATTTTGATTATGTTTTACAGATTTTTAGGGTTTGAAAGTTAGTTTCTCTGGGATTTAAATATCTCGTAAATCATACCTGAAAGGTGGGAAAAGGTCAACCATCCATTTTTCAGATGCGCCTCCTTCTGTCGCTCTACCTTTTGGTAGCCGTCTCATGGGCCATCCTTGATACTGTAGACGAGGCTTGTCCCGTCAAAAAAGGCAATACTACGGCTATGGCTATGGCGGTGCTGAAAATTACAACTTTAGCCAAAGAAACTTTCAAAATCCTTTACAACAATAAAGCCTTTAAGCATAAAATAAACAAGATGTACTAAGTAAATGAAATTTTAGGATACGGCTACTATGGATGCGGATGAGCAATGTATGCACCATGTCCTCATGGCAATGGTGGTTGTTACGGGAATGGATATGGTGGCTATGGCGGTTACGGCTATGGAGGTTACGGATACAAAAAATAGCAAATGAATCGAAACATCGGCAAAATTTTACAGGAAAAGAAATGTATTTTTAGAATAATGTGCAAATATTGAAGTAGAGATAAATACTTGGCATGAGGTGACAATACAGCAAGGAAAAAATAAAATTTCAAAAATAAAATAGATAAAGAGTGAAAAGAATTCGATGGCGATCAGAAGGGTAAACACTTGAAGAATGCAGTCTTTATTCTAAAGATAGGAAAGTTTTGAAGAGAAGAAGAACAAAGTTACACAAAATTGTGATTGATAGAAAATTTGTATTCGCAGTAGGTAACTAGTAAGCATGCATAAGATATTAGACTGTTAGAATATCCTATGAGAATTTTTCGGGAATTTTTTTTTCTTGCATTGAGCAGTTGTTTCCATATTTTTGCTCAATAAACTAATTAACTTGTACAATGGAAAGGCATTTTGCAGATGTTGCCGGATGGTATTTCGACAGCAGTGAATCAAATTTCCAATTTTGAGCAGTTAAATTTGGAAAGAATTTCTTTTGCTCAGTTGAATAATGTGAAATCGGAAGTTATGAGCAGTATCATACTGCATACTCATTACTTGATGGAGTGGGGAGGGTTAGATTTCGAGATACGCTCGCAACACTTCCACTAAATCTGCCGCATTTCTTTTAAGAATAAACAAAGAGGCCTCTTCGATTGAGCTTCAACCCTTGTAATTGCTCAGAACAGTTTTCGTTATTGGACATTCGAAAATTGTAGCTCTGCACTGTAAACCTCAATTACCTGGATATTCTGGCTAAATGCAGGGTGGTCCGCATGCAGTGTGACGCAAAAAACTACCCACAAATTTGCAATTTGCACCATCCTTTAAATAAGAAATGTACTCTTATATTTAATAGCCAGAAAAATCTACATAAGAGATTACATATCGCACTCAAAATGGCCACCTCTACCTTCAATACAAGCATTCGATCTCTTTTTGAAATTCATGAGGATGCGCGCGACCATTTTCGGTGAGATTTTTCGGACGATTTACAAATCTTCTAGTCTCTTTGAAGGTTTTATGACTCGGTGTACTTGCTCTCGATGCAGTTTGAGTGTCTTTGAAATCTCGGTAACTGACAAGCCGC